TTATTATAGAAGTTTATAACACCAAGAGATACATTGACATTCTGCAATAATTCAATATCCTTTAATTTTTTTTCATATGTGCTACTTATATTTTAGGAATTAAAATGTGCTATTAAAACACTTGCTACGTTTCCAGCGAAATCTACTATATTTCCAGGGAAATTTACTATGTTCCCTGGCAAGATAAACCTTACCCTATTTTCCTGTACTACCAAAAACATAATAAAATTGAAAATAATTTATACGAAAAGATAATATTCTCTCCATACGACAACGAATACGATTGTCTGCATACGATCTGAATAATCTGTATTCGAAAGTCTATATGAAAAATCACAAACATCCAATCCGCTTCCCCAATGGATAGACATCCCCGTGCCGTGCCATTATCCATCCCTGCAAACTTCGTTTGCACCAGAGACCCTGATTTCGATCGCGCGAAAATAGAGTGCGTCGCATCACATCGCGCCCACGCAATTAATCTTGATTGTATTAGACAAAGCTGTGCGTACCGTTACCGGTGGTAATTAACGATTATTTAGTATCCCGTTGCGCTCGTCGGGATTTCAATCGCGCCGAGAGAACGCCCGTGCCCGATCGGCGTCGCTATTAATGCACAGTTGAATGTTAATGAGAAACGTTAACTGGTTGCTGAACCTAATTAAAGCTTTATTATACTTGCAAATAAATCGGCCGGGGTAAATTCGTTCGGCATATTCGCTCGCGCCCCGACATTTGCCGCGACGCTAATTATTTTAAGTAATTATTATCCGCAGCCGCGCGTCAATTCGCGCCGGTCCGCGGCAACGCTCGATACTCTCTTATCCGGAATTTTGCAAATGTAATTTATCTCGTTCCGTATGCAATATTTCGCCGACGCGCTTATCGATCAATCGTCCGTCCGCGGGTCCGACTGTCTAATTGATTCCGTCGCGACTCACGGAAAAGCGACGCGAAGCGAAATACGATGAGTATGCCTCCCCCGTCCTCGTCTGCAAATTAAAACTGTTTTCGTCGTGGCCCGCGCGGCCGGCCGCCAGTGTTAGCCGCCGAAACGCAAATTACCGCTCACGAAAACGACTCGTCGTCGGATATGCCGAAATATGGTCGGTCATTAAATTTAATGAAACGAAAATACGCGACGCGGGATAACCACGGCTCGCGCTACTCATTCTCTCC